AGTAACTTCGAGAGTATAAGTACTGATAAGACACCCAAAAGAATCTTAGAAGTGGTGTCTTCAGATATGGCAGGTCCTATTTCTCCAACAACATATGATGAGATGAATTACCATGTAACTTTCATGTATCATTACTTTATTTATTTGTATCCAAACAGACCTACTGGTCTAATTACATGGATAAATATGCAAACATATGATACTAGTACTATGTTGCTGTATCGCTGTTGACAGAATCAGAATCAACGAACTTAGGCATGCGCAGCGTTATAGAACAGTGCTTTCAAAAAATTGTTCTACAGCGCCATCAGGTGGCGAGTTACAGAAAAATTGATAGCCTATACATGTCAAGATTCATCACGATCGGTTGAGCGATGTAGAAGTTTATCACTTACCAACCAACCAACCAACAAACATTCATTTTTATATATTAGATTACAAATATGATATTACAAATAATTTATATTAATTTACAAGCCATAAACATGAACAATAAAGGTAAAAGTAAAAATAGAAGTGAAAATAAAAGTAAAAGTGAACTTAACACCATGATTTTCTCAATATTAGTTTCAATTTAACAAGTAAGAAAATTTATTTGAGTAGTAATTATAATCAGTTAGCATTATGATGATAAATTAATAATTTGTTTGATTGTGTTTCTAAACATATTTTGAGTTATTGACCAATCCAGATCAATGAGTGTGTTATAGAGCTCTAGTAGCTCTATGTAAAACAGGGATATTAAATGTAACAGAAGAGTGCATTCTCCTTGGAGGCACATTAAACCGCAGTAAACAAAGTAACGTTGGTGAATTAGTTCTATTATTAATAATTTCAAACAAAAACATCAAAATGTTAAGGATTCTAACTACATTATAATCGGGATATACATGATGCTTTTTATAATAAATGTATCTTAAAAATTTGTTTTGGATTTTTTCTAGCAAGAATAATGTACTATGATATTCTCCATGACAAATTGTTGCACCAAATTCTAATTTGGGCCTTACTAAACTATAATAGAAAATTTCAAGGGAATGTACATTGGTAAAATTGAATGATTGTCTAATTAAATAACCAAGCAATCGATTTGCAGACTTAGCTATATTTTTAATATGTGTAGAAAAGGACAGTAGATGGTCATAAGTACCTCAGAACACCGATTTAGGGCCTCTTCATTCATTCTGTACTCGAACATAACAGATTCTTTTAATCGTGTCCCTATGGTTGGAGCCTCATAATATCTTATGAAACCATCCATTGTAATGCTAATATATTTTTTTCCAATGAGAAATATACGTACGTATAAAAGAATAGAAAAATTACAATCGAATACTTAAGATTTTTTTTTGAGTAACCACTATCTTGACGAGTTCTCCTTTCAGTGATCTCTGTTGTTTTCAATATCTGTTTCTTGATTTTCTTCAATTGGGGTTCAATCTTCTTTGTTCTTTCCACATATTTCTCCTGAAATTTGAGAATATCGTCAGATGGTCCAGGCGATGTAGGAGCACTGTCTGGATTCCAATCTCTTTTTTTCGATTGCTCGCATATGGGATTTTCCAGAATTCCTTCCTCGGTTTCACCACTTCTCTCCAATTGTTCAGCTGTATAAATTTCACCGTTAAGCACGAGTTTATGATTTTTGATTTATGCTGGCCTATTATTTGATTTGGCTTCCTTCAAATGCTTGACAAGTATTTTATTATTCAGTCGATCCTCATAACTCATATCATGTAGAATTGTAATGAAACTTCCCTTTAATTTGTGTAAGTTCTTGAATATCGACTTTTTTATTATATGTGATATGAACTCGATTTTTATTGCGGGTTTATTACCAGCCTTCAGGAAGTATATATCGCTTAGATATTGCTCGGACAGATTGAGTTCCAGAATTTATCCATTACGATAGAGGCGAGGTTTCCGTTGTTTTCCACTTCAAGGCCAAATACAACGATATTATTTTTCCTAAACTTCCTTTCCAAAATGGTGTTTTCTTTCTCGAGCTTATCGCACTTCTTCTCCAGCTCCACTATTCTACTATCTTGCTCCCTAATCACACTCATCAATTTCTCATACTCACTGTCTATATGTTTTATTATTTCTTGCTTGATTTATCCATTTTCAACCTTCAGTGCATCCAGTAGTTTAGAAAATATTTCATTATTTGACAGTTGCTCACTCTCATTCATCTTCTCTTCAATAATCCGAAACTAACCTTTGGCGAAATAGTGCGCTATCCTTCATCCAGTGCGTTTTTTCTAGCGGAGATATCCACTTACAAAGGAATTTTCCTATGTATACACGTGGTAATTTTGTTTAATCTGGTATTAAGATTCAGGATAACACTTGGATGTGTCCGTGAAGAAACTGTATACTAACTTTTGTCACAATAATTATATTTTTGTTTTGATTTCCATTGGAATGAGAACTTGGATTGCAACACTAATTTTAACACGATAGTTTGTATTCTCTTATAAAATTTTAAATCATCAGGGAACAAAGCACCTTCAGTATAATTTAATACTGATGGTAGGTCATTAATGAAGAGAACGAACAGAAGGGTCCCCAAATTAGAGCCCTGAGAAACTCTGGCGTTGGCCTCAAATTAACCCGAATTATTGCCATTATATTTTACCATTTGATATCTGTGTTGCAAATAACTTCTTATCAGCTATAATATCCCAAGGACATTGATAACTAACGAAATAATTTTATCACAGTTTTCGAAAGCACGTTATTTGGTAACATCCCGACGCCGAAGGCGGAGGGATGTTACCTAAAATAACGTGCTTGAGGAAGTTGTGATAAAATTATGAGTTATTTATCAATAAGCAATGTCATGACATAAGTGATAACTACCCGTGAAAACTATCCATGGGTAGTCATCAGTGTAATGATGGTTTCATTGGTTATTTCGACACACATGACTAGAAATAGACAAATTTGATAGGATAATTTTTTTGGCAAAAAATTTTCAGTTTAAGAAAATTATAAGACAGCTCAAACTTATTCAATTTACACAAGAGTACATCATGATCAACTGTGTCAAACGTCTTTCGAAAATCTTTATATATTACATCAAGTTGCGATTTGGCTTCCAAAGTTTCATATGCATAATTTGTGAAAGTGGACAGATTTGTTGTGCTGATAGATTTATTCGCTACTAAGCCATGTTGTTGGGGTATAATATATTTTTCAACATATTCATATAAATGAGCAAAAATAATTTGTTCAAATATCTTGGAAGGTGCACACATTAAAAATATTGTCCTGTAGTTTTCTTCATCCATTTTATTACCCGATTTGGAAATTGGAGTAACGATTGCTGTTTTCCAAGCAGTCGGAAAGGTGTTAATTGAAATTATCAAATTAAAAATGTCTAGTAGAAGTGTCTCCAACCAGTCCCCGCAAGCTTTGTGTACATAAGGTGGAATGCTATCACTTCCAGATGCTTTCTTAGGTTTTAGTTTTTTCAACGCTTTTTTAAAATCTCTTTCGGTTATTGAATTTACAATTAGAACATCATTACAAATACTGTTATCCGGTTCAAAATTTAAATTATCTGATGCGCCTACTGATGAATACACCAACAAAAAAAAGTTAGCAGAAATATCCGTGATTTGGTTCTCACTGATATGATCACCTTTATACACAAAGTCGCTACATTCTGTAAAATTTTCTCGTTTATTATTTATGTGATTCCAGAAACAATTACAACTTTTTTTTATATTTTTTTCTTCCACTTTGATTAGAGTTTTTAATTTTTTTATTGTTTCTTTATAATTTGTATCATAAAAATCAGATATTATTCTTAGTCTCCTATATCGTGCTTTTTCTCTCAAATAATTTCCTTATTAAACCATACCGGAAAACTCTTCGAGTTTGTACAAACAATAAATTTAGGCACACATATATTCATTATGTTGTACCAAATATTGTAAAATTCATGTAAAGCCATGTTTACATCTGCTTTCTCCTCTATTACTTTTTTCCAATCTGCGTCTCTAGTTAATTGGCTTAACCTAAGAAATCCTGCTTTTTTAAAGTTAAATAATGACTCTAAATTTGGTACATTAACTTTTTTGGTGGATGTTACTGTGATATTAATGTCATTTTACTCAAGTATATATTATGGAAAGTATCGAGTTACAGTACATTTCCACCCAAAAACAATGTGCAGACATTTTAACAAAAGCTGTAACTGTAAGGAAACTTGAATATTTGAGGGACAAAAAAGAGCATAGTAAAAATTATCCAAAATACGATTTGATATGTTTATATGTTTTGATAATTTCATAATAATGTTATAATTGTTAATTTTTTTTCATTTCCATCGCAAAATTGGATGTGGGTGTTGATGAACGTAGTCTAAGTTGGCAATTGTCTTTTTTTTTATTGGAGGTGTACGCGAAGCACAACGTGTGATGTCTATCGCCATTTTAGTGTAACTCAATAAATTTTATTTAAATACTCACTTCATAAATTTATTATTCAAATCCAGCTAATCGTTGAATATCGATCACATAGACGACGTCTTCGTAAAGAGATATGTAATCTTATTTACACTGAGACTAACTTCAACTGAGCAAAATAGGTTACCAATTACAAAATCGCTAATGTCTCAAAGGAAATATTAGAATGGAATTTTATGAAATAAAAGGCTTCTGAATGATTTTTTTCTATTCGCCAGATTTCGAAAATTCGACGATCGACTTGTTCGAACTGAAGCTGAACAAAATTTCACTTTGAACGTGCAATTCCTAGCAACGTTCAGTTGATATGTACTGAACAAAAGGTTACTCATTTGAGCAACCCACTTGACACTCGCTGAAACAGTAACAATTATCTCTCGTCCCAGACCAGAGATCAAATATACATCATCATAAGGATGGAATCAAATGATGGTTTCTGAATTTAACATGACTATTCTGAAAATATTCTCAACAATAACCATAGCACCGTTTTTCTCATCTAATTAACTTTTTATACCTTTGCAGAATTTGTGAAAGCAAAAATCCTGAGTTTCCGTGCGGCAAACACGTTCTAGGATTCTTCGGATGGAGAACCCACACAATTTCTAATGGAATTCACCCAGAAAAAGATAGAAAATCAACTTTAATTCCAGATGAATTGAATGACCTACCACTGTCATTGAGTTTGGGTGTTTTGGGAAGACCGGGGTAAATAATTATTTGTGTATAGGTAGATAGATATAATTTTTTATTTGAATTGGTCAATTGCTGATTGCATTCAATTTGTTCTCGCCAGCAACTCTGCCTATTTTGGATTTCTCGAAATATGTAAGCCAAAGGAGGGAGAAACAGTGGTAGTATCTGGGGCATCTGGAGCAGTTGGTAGCATTGTTGGACAAATAGCTAAAATAAAGGGATGTAAAGTTATTGGTATCGCTGGGTCAGACGAAAAATGTAAATGGATAACAAATGAATTAGGTTTCGATCACGCTATCAATTATAAAACAGAGGACGTTGATGCAGTTTTAAGAAAGCTATCTCCTGAAGGAATCGACTGTTATTTTGATAATGTGAGTTATTATAGATCCTTTTCAATTTTTATTTTGCGTCCACCAGAAATAATGTCTTCAGGTCGAAAATAATTGCATATATTGAATATTTATGATTGTCAACGTGAAGTTTGACAAGGTTTACAAAAAATATACAAAATGTGCTAACTTGAGAGAATTTATAGCGGAGTCTTTATTATCTGCAAAGTTGGCCAATAAAAACAAAACAAATGCCTGTCTCATGTGGAATATGAAAACGTATTCAAATAATTTTTGTTTATTTAATACTGCTTTCATACTGTTAAGTTAATTGAAAATTATACGTACCTTATCTGGGAATAATGGAAACGTAGATTATTTTTCGTTAGACATAATAATAATGATAATAATAGCCTTCATTACCCAACAGTTGAAAACCATTTACAGGGTTATCTAAGTATGTTAAAAAAGTATTATAGGTGCGTATAACTACAACGTTACAATTTGAGAAAATGAATAACAAAAATGTAGTATAATAATACAGTATAATAATAAAGTATAATAATATAGTATAATAATAAAATGACAGAAAATTAAAAATTCTACATGAAAAACTGAGAAGCAGCTTCAACAATATGTTCTAGGGAATCAAAGTTGATATCTCAGACATTTGAAATTAAATTGAAATTATTGCAAATGCTAAAGATGGGTGATTTGAGGTACAAATTGGTTCTGGTCAGTCGGCCGTAAAAAGTTTTTCTACTTCTAGTTCTAAAATGAGGTACACAGAAATTTATAAGATATTACGCCTTCATAATATCCACATTGCTCTGCAGTAATTTATATAGAAAAATTATTCCAGCAAGTTTTCTGCGTAATTCAAGACTTCCAATATTGAATGTTATAGTAAGAGATTCATATGGAATATCTCTATCAGGATAGATACCAGAATATTTGAAGTATATAAACTTTAGGAAACTGTCATGAATGTAGTTATTTGTGATACTCACTGTACCTAGATGCTTTGTCCATGGATTGTACTTGTATGTAAAAAGTGATAACAAAAATGAGTGCAAAGAAAATTGAAAGGCAGCCATCTATTGTTTCAAATGAAGGAACCTCAACATAAACAACGTTGAATTTTTTCAACGTTCAATTGTAGAATGGAAACCATCGAACAGAGCAGACATGTTTGAAAAACATCTACAATTGTGAACAATAAAGCAATAAACTATCAATGCTTCACTTATTTTTGATCTTATGTGATTGAAAAAAAAAATTAATCAAAATATACACCAAGATCTTTAATTGAGTTACTACGTGACAGTGGAATGGTATCTACTCGGTAATTGTAGTCGATGACTGACATTTTCCTACTATAAGACACTACTTTACATTTGGATACATTAAGATATAGTTTATTAACTTCACAACAAGTCTATATTTCCTATCTGTCGTTGCAATGTATTACAATATTCGATAGTTTCGACAGGAAAATATATTTTTAAATTATCTTCAACTTATTACAATCGACATAATAACTAATGTCATTAAAAAATGATAAGGATAGAAGTAATCCGAGATTCGGCCCCTGAGGTACTCAAAATGAAGGATTTTAATAAAAAAAATCAAAGCCGTTATAGACCAGGGACTATAATTTTTGAAACCACAAAAAAATAACAGTAGAATGAAAGTCATTAGAAAAGAAGGTAAATATTTGAAGGATTCATGTTTGAAACAATTAGACGTGAAAAATAGATCCTTTAGATTTTCTAAACCTGGTTTGAGAAAATAAAATGTCCTTATTATTTGAACTTAATTGATTTAAAAGGGCCAAAAGATCAATATCTTGACCCACAACAATGACAGTTTTATATTAGTGTGAAGTTACACAAAACTTTTCATCCACAGTTTATGACGAAGGACAATCGAACAGGATTTACAATGAGATTTGCGAACAGTGTTGCCAGATTGCAAATATTAGGGATTTTACCTGTATTTCGATGTTATCATTTTAAAAACACATATATTATTGAAACATGTCGAATAAATGAGTCAGCATTCTACATAAACTCATTATATCAGCAAACTGTCCGTATACAAGCATTATTACCGAAAAAAAAGTATTATAAGAGTAAAATATATTCTCATACGCTACCGAAACAGGTAGCGTATGAAAACTGGAAAATTAGTTTCTTGGTAAAAAATTTATGACTTGTAAAAAGTATGTCATTTGAAATATCCTGCGTTGAACAATACCGAATGCCCAGGAAAGACTCATCCACAAAATATCATATTTCTCACTCATCAAAAATAGTTTTTTGACGAAAATTTCACAATAAATTCTTCAAAAGTATATCTATCGACGTGCTAAAACAGATTTGCGTACCTTGTTCCTTGGGTGCGAAAAAAAATAGTTCCATATATTCGGAACTGAATTACTCAAATAAAGTCAAACTTCTCACTTATCAAAAATAGTTTGTCGATGAAAATTTCAGAATATATTCTTTGAAAGTATATTTATCGACGTGCCAAAACAGATTTGCGTACCATACGTTCCTTCGATGCGAAAAAAAAAGTTCCGTATATTCGGAACTCAATTACTTAAAAAAGTCAAATTTCTCACTTATCAAAAATAGTTTGTCGATGAAAATTTCAGAATATATTCTTCTAAAGTATATCTATCGATGTCCCCAAACAGATTTGCGTACCATACGTTCCTTGGGTGCGAAAAAAAATAGTTCCTTATATTCGAAACTGAATTACTCAGAAAAAGTCAAATTTCTCAACTATCAAAAATAGTTTTTCGATGAAAATTTCAGAATATATTCTATGAAAGTATATCTACCGACGTGCTGAAACAGATTTGCGTACCTTACGTTCCTTGGGAGCGAAAAAAAATAGTTCCATATATTCGGAACTGAATTACTCAAATAAAGTCAAATTTCTCACTTATCAAAAATAGTTTGTCAATGAAAATTTCAGAATATATTCTTCTAAAGTATATCTATCGACGTGCCCAAACAGATTTGCGTACCATACGTTCCTTGATAAAAAATTCTAGAACAGTACATAATTGGGTAATTCATAGACTGTTGGCGAAGTCTAGCTCAAAGCTATTCTACTCAACCAACAGAGGGACACAGCCCAAGAAAAGAAAAAATACATAGCTAGCTATAAAATCATGATAAATTGAAATGGAGTATGAGCTGTAAATGAAGTACTCAGATATATAAATAATTTCAAAACAGTAATAAATAGGCATCTACAAATATTTTTTAAAGACGATGTCTCATTAAATATTAACTTTATTAACTTATTTGTTTGTTAATTGTAGTATATTTCGATTTTTTCGTTTATCAATGTAACATGAAATCTTATGTTTCTTGAGCAATTAAAGTGTAAATTTTAATAAATAGCCCAAAATTGCACATAATGATAAAACAAATTTCGAATTCGAGTTTTTTTCGACTTTCTGCATTTTCTGAGAACATTTAGTACGGTAAAATATATTTTTTTACACCATCATAAAGTAGAGATTTCAACGAACAAAAAGCACACCGACTTTTTGAAAAAATCTGATATTTTAACGCGAGAATTATTGATTGAAAATTAGGTTGTTTTTTTGATAATAAGTCAAAATAAGGTGAAAAAATAAATATTTTTAATGAAATGAATTACAGACTATTTGGGGCATAAAAAGGTGAATTTTCACCAAATTTTGTTGGAAAATAAAAAACCAAAAATTTGGTTATTTGAGGTTATGTAAAAACTTGTGAATAGAAAAGTTGTAGATCTTTTTATTACCTACCACTTTCCTATTTAACTTTTTGTATAGGACTTGTAGTTTTGCCGTGAATCGAGATTAACCATTTTTTACCCTTAAAAAGTCACCCTCTCCCAGTTCTTGAACTCAGATCGCCCATAATTTATTTTTTTCACTTTTTTACCATTTTTGTAGGCTTCAGCCATGGTCTACTATAAAATACAAACTGTTTGCCTTGAAATAAATAGGATTTAATAAAAAGTACAGCTAAATTATGGAAACCAAATCATGTGATGAAGTCGATCATATGCTTTAGCAAAATCAGTGTATATAACATCAACTTCACCACGATTATTTGAGACATCACTAACATTTTGGGTCAATACAATTACATTTGAATAACTTTTTTCGAGATCAATTGCCCTAACACCAAACTGATATTTTTGCACTCGACGCGCGTTTCGCTAACAAAGTTAGCATCCTCAGGAGAAGAAAATTGATACCTAGTCTGGCTAGTCCTTATATACTAAAATTTGTTACCTGAGGTTGTATACCTGAAGTCCAATATGGAATTTCTCGGTAATTAACTACAAGCAAGTTCTTAGTAATTATTCTCTTCCTAACAGAAGATTAAAAAGCGGGCTAAACAGAGCCCGAAAGCACGGTCTAGTAGAGTCTTGATACTTCAACTCTTAGTCGATTGATGGTGGTTGGATTTCTGGTTCAGATACTCTGTGTGAGAGGGTTTTCGATATATAAATGTTTCTCATTTAGTGTCGGTCCTCTGCCTATAATTTTTATGAGGATGGTTTATGAAAGAGTGAACTACGGCTTTTTGTGTCATAGTTTCCATGGTCCCCTCATTTTTTTTCATCATCATATGGTACTTATCTCAACAATGTCTGGTCTAAGAGATCGAACACGTGGTACGTTCTCATTGAAGCGAGTTTAAATTTTTGTTAAGACAAAACACAAGCACTACAAGAAAACCCCTTAAAGCGCTCTAATAGCATTGCCTGTGCAAAAGTAGCTATTCTTGTTGGATTCCAATCGCTGGAATTAAATTAATTTGGGAAAACGTTCTCATGAAGTTTATTCCACTAAATGTAGTTCTCCAAATGGAAGAGTTCTCAAACAGGGAAGTTCGAGATGTACTGAGTTGTAAATCAAAACGATGACCAGCCACAGGCCGTCGCGTATTTCTGATATGTAGCGCTCTTGATGGAATCAAATGTTTCAAGTCACTCGAACACTTTCCATGAAAGTATCTATAGAAGAGAGATAAATTCCCAACCTTTCTCCGATGTTCCAGACCATCAAGGTAGCAACTGATGTTTGCGTCTCCATTCAGGCGAATGACTCTTTTCTGGATGGAATCCAGCAACTTGAGCGTATGCTAGGAGCGGAGGTCCATACATGAGAATATTACTCCAAAGAAGGTCTGATCTGAGCTTTATAAAGCATCAAAAGTTGCTGTGGTTTGTTGAGGTTTGAGTTGTTCAGGTGTGTACAGTTTTCTACTTCAGAACAATGTTTCAAGATTTTGAGAAGCAGCCTTTTGCAATTCCAGCGACATGATTGTGCCAAGACATATTGGTGTTCATTTTAACCTCCAACAAACTAATCGAAGCAGAAAGCGGAATTGTCTGTCCTGACATTATTATATTCGATTCGGAGACATTTATTTTTTTGGAGAAAAACTATGCCTGGGTTTTTGTGGTATTCAATGGAACCTGGCTAGTTTCACCCCAATTCGAAATTGTCTTTTAGATCTTCTCATTTGCGTTATTACCAATAGGGGTGACGTATAATAGAAAGTCACCATATTGATGATCGCTCAAGACGTTAAGTCCTTCCAAATATTTAAAGATATGATGATTTACGGCTTTCTCCATGATATCACTGACAACAAAGCGACTGGTCTATACTTATTTGTAAAATTTTTCTTGCCCTTATTGGGAATAGGCTGAACGCGAACAAAATTCCAATAAGAAGGAAAACCCATTCCTTGTACGATAGGTTGAAAAGTCTGCAAAATACTGGTGCGAGTTTATGTGCGCACTTCTTAAGTGCGATGACAGGCATTTCATAAGGACCAGATGCCTTGTTGATATTGAGCTGTTTCAAAATTCGCCTGACTAGACGTTGTCGAAAATTAATTTCTGCCATTGTGGATTCTAGTAAGGAAATAGTGGGTGAGTGAGACGCTGTTGTTGCAATTGAACCATCCGCTTGTGTTAGTGGTGGAATTGTGGATTTTGTGAAGTTTTAATTAACAGCTTCAGCTACCGACCAGAAGGATTAAGATTCGTTATTCCTACTTTTCTGATTGTTGACGTTCTTCGTCTCCATTTATTCTAATTTTTGCAACTGTTGCGAGCCTCCACAAACCTAGTTCGGTTTTCGGCTCTGGGATTTTTGCACAACTGCCCATAGATGAGATTTTTGGTGGCGACAGCTTGCTCGCAAATTTTATTGAACCAAAGTTTGCTGTTAGAAGTTCGTTTCATTGAAAAAAGAATATTTGCATCCATGGATGATAGAATAATTTCCGTAACTTCAGAAGCACAAGTTTATAGATCATTAGAGCTGAAACAAACATCAAGCCGAGAAAAATTTCGGAAATGGTCTTGAAGATCTTTCCACTCATTGAGGGTGAACAGACAGCGAACGTGGATGCAACACTAGATTTGATTAGATTAATATGGAGCTTCTGTGCTGAACAGTCACTACACTGCGACCTTTGCAGATCTATTGTGTGTGCCCTCATGTATGCTAGAGTTCCTTGTCTAGGCCCGTCCTTGTAACTAGACTCCATAGGCCAGACCTCAAGTTCCGCATATATTGAAAGGGTTGTGGTTTTTTCTCCCCTAATGTTGCAAAGCTTATCCTTGACAGACCTTCGTAATAGCATAGTATGTGTACGGAGGTTTCCTCATCCTCTTGGCAAAGCCTCCATAGGGCTGTGTCTGCCAGTCCGATGTGGATGCAACACAGTTAATATCATGATTGGACTATCTACCAACGAACTTTTTAGATTTCGAAAATTCGATTCAATCTCCAAGTATAATAAAATCAGTTGCTTAACTGTTTTGAAAAAAATCTTTTTTTCCGTTAACCAGCTATCGCACCCCTACAAACGACAACCCTCAGAAGTCGAAACTTGTGCGAGCTAAGGATTAATGAGGTCTTACCTTTTAACGTGTAATTCCTAACACAGGTTGGACGATAACAAGTGAGAATCAATCGTTCAAACTAGGGCTTAAACCATCGACCAACACGGCAGCCAATTCGAGTGAGTGAACAAAGCACCCACGTCAAACCGCCTGGCTATCGACCGCAACGTGACAAGCTTAAATGGTAGAAAATATAGACCCAACCCAGGGGTTATATTTGTATATATATTTAATAAAAATATTATTTTGTTGTGTAATATTTTTATTATAACTTTTAATGGATCGTATAAATTCTTTTGGAGTTAAAAGTTATATTTTCAAAAAATCCGAGGTTAAGGGACAATAATTGGCATCTTAAGGAATTCGTTATAATTCGGACACTTCATATTTGATACTAGTGGTAATATTGATACATAAGGTAAAAGTTGAAAATATTAATTATTTACTGAAGGTAATGTCAATTGTTTTGTTTTTTACTTTTTATTAACAAAATTGCAGGCCAACTATAGTAGCATTTGTAGATACTTATATGTTTTATTGAAGATTTAGTAGTTATTTCTTTGTTTTAAGTTTTCAATTCTTAATATTCGAATAAAAATGTTGAGATCTCAAAAAGTTTTTCAAACCCAAATATAATCTTTGTATTGTATAATTTACAGGTGGGTGGTGAGATAAGTAGTACTGTCATACATCATTTGAAGAAGTTTGGGAGAGTCTCCATTTGTGGTGCAATATCTGGATATAACGAAACATCCAAAGGTAAAAACAATAATGGTGAATTAGTATATCTATATCATATTTCACTGCAACGTAGAGAATATCTTTTTGAAATAATATAATTTTTATGAAAAGACAGCAATAAATCTTTCTATGTTTTTTTACTATTTGTAATTGTAACTGACGTATTCTTATGGGACGAAACTGCGGTAACATTAGTTGCAAATACAAGTTGTGAAAAAACATAGAAAGTTTCATTTCTCATTTTATATAATTTTCATTTTCATCAATTCAGTTTGTAGGTCAAAATTATATACCATCAATTTTCAAAATGTATCACTTGATTGAGCAAGAAATTACAAAACTCCCTTAATTTATGAACAAAATATCATGGTTCATTGTATAAAATAATACTACTATTTAGGAATAGCAAACTCAAAAATATATCTCCTATGTGACTACATAAGCTGTGGTGTCAAAAACTCAACACAATATGGTAAAGAAAGGTTTTGGCCTTTTACTTTTCAATCTTTCTACAAAAAATATGTGGTAATTTTTTTCAAGAAAATAATCTCTCCTGAAAATATACCCCTTTCAATTCAACCCATAATATTTTAGAACTATGTATGTTGGGTGCAAATTCTTAATTATTAGAATATTGGGTGTATCAAAATGAGATTTGGTCAGTTTCGGTTTTACCGAAAATGGTTCCGTTTATAGAACAGTGTATCAGAATGTGACATTTTAATGAGTGTTTTTACGCCTACTTAATTTTTTTAGAGTTATTTTTGATATTATATCTAGGTCTCTATGATCGGACATAAACTCAGTAAGGATAAATATGAATAAGACAAGTTGTTTTTTATTCAAGTTGTTTTTTATAATATTTTTTTGTGAAATCAAACAGAAGTACTGGATAATGGATTCATTTGACTATTGTTTAAAGAGTCAAGGATAGCCACGATCAATATTTTGCAGTTATTTTTATCAAGTCTTCTTTGGAAAACGAAACTATCACTGATGTCACTTAAAGAGTCATGGAATTGATAATTTAAATGAAAATGGACCCTTTCCAAATACACTAAAACTTGGAATTATCAAACCACTCTTCAAAAGTGATGATAAACATCAGATCTCAATCTACAGTCCTTTATCGCTGATTTCGAATATTGCGAAAATATTCAGAGGGGAAAAGTTGATAGAGAATGTAATTGTAAAACTAACAGCTCATATTTATAAATAACTTGATGTTTCAAAACCACCTTTATGTAAATTTGTTGACCTTTCGAAAGTCCTCAGTAGTGTCTGCCATACAAGGCTCCTTAAGAAACTAGAAGATATTGCTATTAGGGGAAAACCGTACCATATATCAAAATCAATCTGATTCGAAAAAAGAATTTAGGAACATTTGAAATTTCACAAATCATATAATAGATAGGATGAAATCTTGGGAAACTGATGAACAGACAACTTGGGCATTACCATATAGAAACTTTTATTAAGGCGGGAGCAGATTTTGTAAATATTCTCCAAGACGTTGTTAGGTTAACAAACAAGTTCACAATAAGTGATTATGTAATTATTATTGTAGGTCTGAATAATTTCAAAAGGAAAGAAACGCCCTCTGTAAAAGATATCTATAACAAAGTTAAATGTAGTGATACAAATCTTATATTAGAAGCGACACTGCTTTGTAAATTCGATAATGAAACAGAATATTTCATTGACAAATTTAATGAATTAATAAATACATTCGTTTTACAAGGAAATCACATCAAACTATTAAACATTAATCGTAAAAACTCATTTTTGAACACAAACATTTTAGTGGCTTGCATAGTAAAAGAAATAGTTTTGAAGCAGAAAGTTAATGACAAGATTATCATTAGAAAATCAGAAGCACAGGAGATGAGAATAAACTCAATGATGAAATGAATTTTTCAAAAATAAATGGGTCAATGGAAAAGAAATAGCACACATAAATAATACCAATAACAATTTCATTTTATATTTGAATGCACAAAGTTTATCAGCACATTTTGACGAATTACATAAATTGATCCTAACTAAAAATCCCATTCTAGTATGCCTTTCGGAGACTTCCATTCTGAATAATAATACCAGTGATGATCTTCAAACAACACTCAACTTCTGACAGAAGAACCAAACTCTTACTAAGGTTCTAGCAGACCACTATTATAATCTTAATGCAGTCATCGTTCACTGTGATTCTGGCGTTGAATCTGGTCATTATTTCGCATTGATCAAAGACGAAACGGACTGGTTTAAGTTTGACGATAGTCGTGTCACTAAATATTCTGGCAATTTCTTGAATTTGTTGGAGCCTCTGGAGACATCCTTGGAGACATCCTACTTTTTATTCTATGAAAGAGAGGACAATGGCAGATCAAGATCTTCAGATGATGTGATGCTGCAGGTTTTTCCGGGTTTTCTTTTAGCTGAAAAAGCAAATGCGCCACTGGAATCAATCAAGTCGCCCCAGAGCGGCAATTAATGTTGTTCTTGTTTCATAATTTCATAATTTGTATTACTTTAATTTTTTATATATCCTTTCGGTAAAATTCTGAAAAAAGACATCATTGGGCAGGGGTCAGCAACCTACGCCACGCGTGCCAGACTTGGCACGCCTGGCAGGTTAAAATGGCACGCATAACTTTGTGAAAAAGTAATAAAATAAAGATTTAATTTTGAGGATACTTATTGTAAATTCAGAATAATCTAAGGAACTGTACACAAGCTGGCAACGTAGAGCTAAGTGATAGCACGCCAGACTAGAACGACGCGACAGCGACAAGACTATTCTAGAAAGGAGACGCGAGAAGGTGACTGTTATACGGGAAACTTCTTTAAGGCGATATACCATTATATTGTAATGAATTAACTGTCTTAATCAAATTTATTTTTAACAATATTTCACTATCACAACTAATTTATATACAACACTTAGTAACTAATGCTTAATTTATCTTCACAATTAGATTCCTTTCTTTAAACGCACGATTCACTTTCTAAGTACAGACTACTCCTCGGGACGGAGAGCGACCTTTTTATATCGTCAACGAACGTTCCGGATCTCTCTGCGGATTTCGGGACCCATCCGCACCTTTTGCGCTGTTTCGCGATGCGTCATGAGAGAACGGCAACATATGCGTTTTTTACGGGGGCTTGCTGGGTACAGGTCGACGATTGCCCCTTCTCATCGACCCCCTCTAGTTTTCCTGATTTGGTGTCGATTCTTTTGAAAGCTGGACATTTGCTACGCACATGTCCAATTTTCCCACAGTTCCAGCATCTTATACTTTTCCTCTCAGGCAAAACTTCTTTCATTACTTTTCCTGATAGCTCGAACTTTTCTCTGGCTCTAGCAGTATTGTTTTGCAGCCTCAAACTCCAGAGCGCTTGCCAGTGCATCCACGAGATGTTTGAGATGAGCTAGCGTCAAGGCCTGCCTAGTTTCTTGGTCGCGAAGTCCATCCAAGAATGCCTGAACTGCTAACCGCTCCATTACATTTTCGGGTGTAGCAGGATATGCCAGATGGACCAATCGAGCTGTGTCGGCTTCAAACTCCTGTAGGGATTCTCCTGATTTCTGGCAGCGGTTCTTCAGCTGTGAATGGTAAACGTGCTCTAGGTGGGCCTGTCCATACCGCAATTCAAGATACTTCACAAGCTGGTCATAGTCTTCCTGTTCCGGGGCCGTGAGGGTTTGCAGGATATTCGTTGCTTCTCCACGCAACGCCAATGTTAATGCTACCGCCTTTTCTCGCTCTGGCCGCAGCTTCAAATTGTCGGCGGTAATTTGCCCAAGGAGTTTTTCCGTCGAACTGGGGCGGTTTCATAGGGAGCTTTCCTGGTTCAGAACTGAGTTTGACATCTTTCAGTTCCGAAATTGAGTTTTCAGTAACCGTTTCTGTGGGGTGGGCAGAATTAACAATTTGGTTTTGCAACTTGCTAATTGTTTTCTTCATCTTGTTGATTTCTGCCTCAAATTCGCCTTTGATTTCATTGCCTAACTTTTTTTCCATTTTCCCCATTTCTGCTCCGATTTCATCTTTGATCTCCCCTTTGATTTCCTCTCTAATTTTGTCTATCTCCGTCTCGATGGTTCCTATCCTTTCTTCGAGTAGGCTTGCCACACTACAAAGCTCTTTCTTCCAGCCTTCTGCATTTTCTAGAAGTTCTTCCTTCAAGCTATTCGAATTCTCCAGGCACTTCGAATTTTGTTGAAGTCCATCGAGTTTCCTCATTATTGAACTCAAATCACCCCCAGAAACTTCGAATAAATATGTTTCGGGGTCTTCTCCTGACTCAATCAAGTTATCCCATAGTCTCTTCTGGAGTACCGATTTCTTTCCGGAAGAATCTAGTTCTCTTTCCTCCAATTCTTGCTTCAATTCAGCGACTTTCAAGTCCACTAGGCGCACTTTCCTTGAACACATTTTATCTCTTACTGTCTATTTTACTCAAAACTGAATATGTCCACTCATTTAATGGAGTCCGAAACACTTATTTATTTTCACAAGTCTATTTTTCGCGAGAAAGGTCTATCAGTTTATAATTCCGTCGTCCGGTACTGTCCGCTTCGCGAAACACAATGAATCACCAGTCTATCTGCGTGAAAGTGCGAAAGTTTTATAGTCAATTTCACTGTGATACAAAAATTGTCCACCAAGCGCTCACAAATTTATTTTGAAAATCCACTTCTGATCACCAATTGTAACGAATTAATGAATCAACTGTCCTAATCAAATTTATTTTTAACAATATTTCACTATCACAACTAATGTATATACAACACTTAGTAACTAACGCTTAATTTATCTTCACAATTAGATTCCTTTCTTTAAACGCACGATTCACTTTCTAAGAACAGACTACTCCTCGTGACGGAGAGCGACCTTTTTATATCGTCAACGAACGTTCCGGATCTCTCTGCGGATTTCGGGACCCATTCGCACCTTTCGCGCTGTTTCACGATGCGTCATGCGTTTGCTGACTGAGACATCGGTCAGGGCAGGCTT